AAAACATCGTGAGGCAACCTGATTTTTTTCGAAATAATAACAAAATATTCCGAAGATGTGTGAAGTCCGCCAATCCGCAGTGGATTCGCGTGGTGAACTACGACCTTACGAGTATACACTCTGTACGGTCTGTACTCTGGAAGGAATTGGGCTGCAATTTAATTTTTTCACTAAATGTTTATGAAAGCAAACACACCGTGTCTGTTATAGTCGTTGTGAGAACAAAGTTGCTTCAGATTGCTTATAGAGACTAATTAGAGCGACGTATAGACGGGGAACCCCAGCATTATCCGTGTACAGCTGCCGCATGGCCGAAACAACATTAATTTAGTTAAAAGGGCACAAATAGGCCACGACCCCCTCCCCGCCCCTGACGGAATAACATTAGATGGAACGCCTGAATAATGTTTCCGCGTATTAAGCGGCCAGTCGAAATTTACGTACGAACAATGAAAATACATGATTTTAAATACATTAACTACTTGCTATATTTTCGCGCGTATATTGCGACACTCAATACGACCTCGTTTTAATCGAGTTTTTTCATTCAGCTCATCACCGTTTCAATTGCTATAACGGAACTATGTTGGACTCTATTTGGGGCGGTGAGTGCTTATTTTGCTTTTATTACTTTTTAATGTTTAAGTATAGAATTGGCTATTAAAAGACGTAATTATTAAATTTATTAATTAAAATAAATAAATAAGTAATTAAACAGTCGCTTCTTCTCCTAAAACAATGGTCTTATATCAAATGTATTATTAGTTTTTAGAAATTTAAGGTGCAGCTATCAGCCGGAAAACTCATGACGAGAGTTTTTCTGGTCTTTGAACAAAAGGTTCCATTATCTATAAAAAAAATGTATTTCTTTTTTATGCTTTAGTATTTGTTGCTATAGCACCAAAAGAACGGTTTCAACTGTCTAACTATCACGTTCATGAGATACAGCCTGGTGACAGACGGACAGACAGACAAACACAGTCAGATAGCGGTTTCTTAGTAATAGGGTCCCGTTTGACCCTTTGGGTACGGAACCCTAAAAAAGAGCTTTTGTGGAAAGAAAATTTCCACCGATGAAGAATTTAAGGAAGCAGTTTCCTCATGTTTTTACGACAAGGAAAAACATTTTTTTATGAGGGTATAATATAAATAAACTAATAGAAAGATCTCAAAAATGTATTCGTCTTGAAGGACGAAAAAGAAAAATAATTTTGAACGTATCCCTCCTTATCCCCCGTTCTACAAACTTTAAAACATCCCCTCATATATGATAATAAAATCTCCTCCGTACCGCATAGGTTATTTATACAGAGTCCTAAGTGAAACTTACGAAATAAAAAACGACTTAAAAGGAGAAACAAAGCAGAAGCGAGCAAATAACGTCTGGAAAGTCGAAAATAGTTTTTCAACGTCGGTCAGACGTTTACTCAGCCTACGGCCGTCGCAACAAAAAGGTCGGCTAAAGATCGCTCGAGGTAAGCAAGCAGAAGTGATGTTCAATTGTTCTATTTTTCAAAACTCCCGCTTATGGGGGTCTACACCGGTTTTACATCGGCCATTTTGCCCCTTTTAATAAATCCCCCGCAGGATGCAATGGGAGATTCAGCGGACGACGCGACGGCGCGACCATTGTCATGTAAATTTGATTTCGAAAGAAACGCAAACTTTGCGGAGACGGATGAATATTTCAAATTAGCCGACGCTGGACCGCCTTTATTGCGGAAATGCTGTTCAATTTGTTACATATCTATCTTTTTGCGGGACGTTTGGCAACTTTGCCTATGAAAGGTAGACACTACACACGTCGATTAGTAAACGTTCAGTCAGCACAGAAACGGTTTGTTTAATGCGCATTTGTTATTTTGGACGTCGTGACTGTTGAGTTGATTTTAGTTCACTTTTATGAGATGTAAAAATAGAGGTAATCGAACATATTTATGAAAACTAGTTTTTGTTTGTATTATTAGTGTTTTGAAACTTCTCCTGGTCTAGGATATAAATCCTTTATTGGAACGTTTCATAAATATGAAATCGCTGATAGAAAGTAAACCTAGCTACTAAGCAATATGACATAATAATTTATGGCGCACAAATATTATACCCGTTTTGTGACCAAAGCTACAAAATGGCGCTCAATAGGAGTATTGCGGTACACCTACACCACTGCATCATCCATTCACTCAAGTGTTCGAAGGAAACTAATTTAGTATGACAGTACTCGAGACTGTGATGTTTTTGCTTTCTTTATTAGTATCCGTGTAATATAATAAATATAATTCCATGTACATAATATTTATGACTGCATGTTACGTGCAGAAGTTTGAGTCAAAATTTACAAGGCACGGATTAGCATGAACTAAATTCGGGGACATGTAAATACGAGTGTTCGCTCCGCTGCGGAACGCGGGGCGAGCAGATGTCACGGCATACCGCTGCGTGCGCTAGTGATGTACCCGGGACAGGTAAGAGAATATTGTATTCGGTACAGCACTAAATCGCTGTCCCACATATACATACACTAGGGGTATCTTTTTACTTAAAAGGGGTTAACGAAAGATTAGGAAAGTAGTAACTACTTATTTTAAAACAGGAGCGTATTAAAGCTTCGAAAGTGTAATCTGTAATCTCTGTCTAACCAGAACGACTGTTTACATAATGTTAACAAATGATATTTCTAAACGTGGAGAATTCGTGGAAACGCTGCTTTCCAACTATTTGCACCCGAAGTGAAAGCTGTATATAGTCTCGGGATTGAGAATATAATATGATGTCGTAAAGCTTGCTCAAAGATTTCTTAATAAGATGAAGAATTGAATGTTAAAATGAAGGAACCAGTTGTACATAACATTAGGCGCGAAAAATATAATTATTAATTTAAATTTAATTACCAATCACTTACCAGAAAACAATATTCTCATTGTGGTTGTGATATAAAAACATGTAACACGTACAGTATGCTTTTGTACTCTTTAATTCTTTATTGAGTCGTGATAGCTCAGTGTCCGGGCGCTCGCCTTTTATTCAATATATTCGAGCAACCTGAGTTCGATCCCCGGTGCCGGCACCAATGAAGTTTTTAACTTTAAGTGCTGGCTTATCACGTGCTCCGCGGTGAAGGAAAACATCGTGATGAAACCTGCATATTTTCGAAATACAAATAACAAAAAAAGATTTTTCGACGATATGTGAAGTCCGCCAATCCGCAGTGGGGCCGCGTGGTGGACTATGCCCTGATACCCTCTGTATAGAGGAGGCCTTTGCCCAGCAGTGGGACATGTATAGGCTGTGACTTTACTTTTTACTTTAATTCTTTATTTTCCTTTAATTATCGGTAACGGTAAATTGTTAATTGCAATCTCAGTAATGATTAATCACGAGCTGGCGAACGTGACGGTGCAGGAAAACATTGTGTGATAAATTTCTTATTTAAAAACAATTCTAAGACCGTGAAGTGAAGTGAACTTTGCCAATCCACTGTGGGATTCCGTGGAGAATTATGTCCTAATACCCAGTACATTTTACTTACAGTACAGCTTTTGCTCAGGTGTGGATTATACGCATGGACTTTTACTTTATGTTAATATTTAGTATAAACCTTATCATTGATGCAATGGAAACTATAAAATGCATCGATACATGCTTTAGATGGATACACATCACTATGGCGTTATAAAATGGCGACTGTAGGCCGCTCGGCGCGTGGGGTGTTTTTAAGTCGTCTTGCCTCCATCCAAACACAAGCCAAAAATCTTTATAAATGCAAACGGGACGCCGCTATTGAGGTAGCGGGCGAGTGGGAAAGGGATAGAGCGGGTGCATCCGCGTTCGCTCTGCGGTCTTAGTAGATACAGCACGTCCTTGCCGCTTCAGACGGTGCGGTTAGGTGTACCTAAACTTTTCCACGAATTGGAGTGGAGTTGGGGAAAAACAAATAAGTAAGTATTCTCATTTGAATGCATAACTTGGGATCTTTTAAAACGAAATAGGTGTTACTTTTGCGATGTGCGCGATGTCTGTGCCCGATGTTGCCGAAATAAAAATATGAAAAGTCAAGTAGCGCCCGCCAAGTATACACAAGATAGGGGAAATATGGATCCAATTTTTAAATGCAGTGCTATATACTAGACGCTGGCCTAAATCAATTTGGCAAAAGTTGTTGGTATTTATTGAACTGTTCGTTATTCTATATACGAATACTTGAAAAAAGTACAACAATGGAAGATTAATCGCTTACTACGACGAGCCATAGCGTGTTAGCAAAAATTTGATAATACTGTGTAATATTTCGAAAAGTTTTAACTATGCCTTTTTCAATAAACGGGTGTAGTTGGTTCACGCAGATGAATAGTTTTTACTTGCATTCGTGTTGCAAAAGTAGCATAAGCACCATCAGGTGTTCCTCCAGCTCGCTTGCCATTTTCTTACCTATAAAAAATATGAGGGAAGATGGCAGACTCACTGTCAGTTCAATTAATGGTGGCTTTCGAAGCCGATGACCACCACAGTGTGGGTATACGATGTTTCAAATGGTTCGACCAGCAGTGATTTCATTCACTATACGAAACGTATAACTATTAACACTTCTCCCAAACATGTGGGTTCTGGCTAGCCCACCAGTTCTGCGTCAGATAAAGCTTTAATAGTCTCGGGACTGAAAGCAAAAACATCAGTTAATACAAGAAGAACACTTCTATTTTACACTTGTTTGCCCATTAGTTCAACAGCAGAAATGGTAAGCTTTATCCCAGTAAAAACTATTAAAAACGCGAATAAATCTCAGGAATAAAACATTTACAAACTAAAAACTATAAGACTTTTTAATAATAGTGAAAAGGTAGTTTAAGGTAGATAATAGACTAGTTTTAGATTTCCATAAACAATGATAGCAAAAAATGTATAAATAAAATATTGTGAGATTGCCTCTTATATTGTTATAGTTACATGTTATATTTCAAGAAGAAAAGTAGTTATCTGAATACACATTAACGATGTTTCCTTACCTGCTGCCAACCAACAAATAGTTTCCGTCTCTCAGCAACAGTCTGAAGTAGTCCGTGTGAGTTTCATTTCCGAGGAACTTGTGTGTGTCATCGACTCCTGTAACAAAATCATATAAGCTTATGAATTAACTGTCACTATAATATTCAAGAGTAGAAATGTTGTTCATTGAACAGTTTTCCGCAGAAGTGCTAATGAGGAAAGTGAATTAGACGCTTGAGAGTTTTTCAATACTTCGACAAAATATAAACGTATTTTCGGACTATTTTGCTACGTTAAAAGACATTTTTTTTATAAGTTTTTTCCCATACTGGGATACTACAAGTTATGAAATAAAAGCATCCTATTGATTTTAACGGGTTTAGCTTCACTGCTTATGTTAATAACCCGTTAATGTATTCGGAACGTTGACGATTTAATCCAAAATCAAGCGGGATAAAATTTGTATTGTAGTTTTATTTAACGATATTAAAAATAAATTGCAACACACTTGTAATGTACAGCGCGTGAGTCTGTGCTTCGAGGAGTATTTGGAAGTGTAACGCAGTTTATAACATGAGGCAGCCGTAGTGATACGCTTGTTAGATTTACTATATAATTGAAACAACCCTTTATGAGCGACGATATATAAAACATACATTAACAATGAAAACAGTGCCATAGAAAGTTTATGTTTTCTGAAAGCCATTTCGAGTTGATAGTAGTATACAGTAAGTTTCCACGAAATTTTATTTCTCATTAAAATTCTGTCTATAAAATTCTAAACCATTTAGGCACTCAGCTTTCTTAAATAAAGTTAAAATGAAGATAAGTTCTTGTTTTTCTTGAGCTTTCTAAAATTAATTGAAAAAAAAAATATTTTTACTCTCTTTACCTCATCTAGTTTATGACCTTATGTAAAAATAACTAAGAATTTTCTTTTCTCTTCGTAAAAAAATCAGAAAGTATGTATGAATGTCCATTTGAAATTAAAAGTGACTTCGATTTATTTAAAACAATGTTCCTTAGTTTTGATTTTTAAAATGTGACTAGTGACTAATAAAATGTAGTTTTCTTTTCACAAACTATTTTCTAGTCTGTACCGCTTTGCAACCACAGTATGATTATCGTTTCCATTATCAGCTTTTGTGGCCGGCGCTCTAAACGAGTGCCTATGCATTGCGGTAAAATTAATAGTGAGGGTATTAATACGGGTTGGTTGTGTGTTAAAACCATGTGAAGTGTTCAGTGAGTTAATTATACCAATTTGAAATTTCCACAGTGTGGTTGAAACGGATATAGGTATGTATGAATACAGCAAACTCTGACAGCGTTAAGAGTAAAATAGATGGCGCCAAACGTGCCTAGAACACGTAACAATTGTTTGTAGACTTGGTAGCACAGTCGTCAAGCTATCGGCTTCGATGTCGGGGTCCGTGGGTGTAGTCCACACGGGACTGAATTTTATTTGAATCTCTATTCGTGCGACCAACAGCTAACTGTTGCGGATTTAGATGTTTGTCCACGTGAAATGCCGGATACTACAATAACCTTATAACAGGAATATAAGTACTTATAATACCCTACAGTAAGGGGGAATGTTATTTTAGAAACAGAAAATGTTGAATATTTAGTGTGAAATCAGACTCATAGAGACATTATTCGGAGCGTGTTAAGCTTTATTGGTCAAACAGAGTTTTATCAATATAATTATTAGCCAAGAGAGCATGAATATGTACTACTGATAACCTGCCACTTTACAGAAGGTATTAGGGCATATTTAACCACGAGAACCCACTATAGAATGGCAGACATATTGTGGAAATATACTTATTTTTATTAGTAAATCGACAATATACAGGTTTCTTCACGATGTTTTACTTCAATGATGAGCAAGTCAAAACAAAATGAATGGTAGATTATATACTACCTATACAATGAAGTCTCTTGGTTTGGTTAGTGTAATTGTATGTGTTTATGTTTCACGCAGTTGATCGGATTCGATAGTCTGGAATGGTAAAATAAGCTGAAGTGGCATATTTCATGTGCTGGTAGGAAAATAGGCACATTAAAGTAACCAAAACCTGTTTTATTTGTAAAAGAAACTTTTGTAAAACTGAGATTGTTTACCCTCTTATCAACCGCCTGCGAAAAAGGAGATGGTTCTCAACTCGGTTGTAGTTTTTTGTTTGTTACCTCGGAGCTCCGTCAGTCATGAACCGATTTTAACCATTCTTTCTGCATATTCATTTCATTCGCACACCGCTGATATATCTGATAATCAAATAGATTTTCTTTTTCGGTTATAAAAATGTCCTATTGAGTTTCTAAAAGGGATTAATTGAATACAAATCTCGTTGATCGAATTTCACATCATCCAGTTTGTTTCGTTTCCACAATTCTGTTCGCGCAATCGAACCTTCGAGAAATTCCAAATTTGTATGTGCAATGCGTTACGAACCACGTTCGCACGATGGATACCAATTACGTTGAGAGCTTTTACGCATCGGCGGAAAAGTTCGATTATTTCGATTCTAACTTATTACTATTTCGTTACGATATCCCGCGGACCAGCGGCGTAATTTGCATTTCCATTAGGCAGTCGGTAACAATTTGCTGAGCTCAGCCGCCTGAGAAAGGTGGAACGTGATATCTTAACACGTCTTTGGGAGAAAAAGGTAACGTACGAACTGTATGTACGTGGTGCGATGCGAGCGCGAACTAACTCACCTACGTATTTGGAATGTGGAATCGCTTATCGAAATTATTGACGACTAAGGATTGGTTTTGGGAATTTAAGGTATTATATTGAGCGGGAACAATGTTCTATTGCTTTCCTTGAGGAAATCCGACGTTTTGCACCGTCTTCAAATAAAGAGAAAAAAATTCATTCTTCTTAGCTAAGAACTCGTTTATGAACGTTTTTTAAAAAGTCTTTGCGTTGGTCTCCGGAGATCAGAGAAATTTTCAAAATCGATTATAAACAGTACAGTGAGTTATTTAAAGTCAGTCTTGCTTTTTGTTAATAAAAATGTACTCGTTTTAATGTTTATTACTTCAGAACTTCGTCTTTTATTTACCGATTTAAAAAGTTTTTGCATTGGGTTCGGTTTAGCTTTTAGGATATTTTTAATATGGGACCACACGGGAGGTCCCATATTAATCACATTTGTATTGAACCTTAGGCTGAAGATACATTAGGGAAATCAAAAACAAATGGAAAATGTATAGTAAGTGACATATTGATTTTGGGTCTTTTTGTTATTAATTTAAAAAAAATAACTGGACTGTTTTTTATTTTAAATTGAATTATAGTATGATATATTAATATCATAAAACATTAATTGAAATTGCACAAGACCTATTTAATGTTTGACAATTTAGACCAATAAATAACAAATTTGAGTATTTAAAAAATATCCAAATTATCCTTATTAATATTATAGTAAGTTAAGGCGAAAGTTTGTATGTATGGATGAATGTTTGTTTTTTCACGCAGATACTACTAAATGGATTTAAACGAAACTTTACAATAATATAGCTTATATACAGTAATATAGCATCAGAATAAGACATAGGCTATAATTTATATACATATTTTTATGTATCTGTCTTTCTGCCTGAATGTTACGCCTTCAGCCTGTTCTACGCGGACGTAGTCGCGGGCAGCTGCAGCCAGTATCGTCATAAACAATGATGATGACCGCGTGACGTTTAAAAATTGTTCCGCTTTTACATTATATAACTTATATGTGAATGTGACAGATGATCTAGAATGTAGTGTATACGGAAAGAGATAGCTGTCTATAGAATTACAGCAATTGGCGTAATTTGAGCGCCTCAAATTCGGTGCGCTAGTATCAAAAAAATAAATCACTTGACAATAACATGTCGATGACCCACCTATGATTTTTTTCCCATCCCAAATTGCCCAAGTTGCCTTTAAAAATGTATTATTACGTTTGTCTCTACTTATTAAAAACTAGCTTTTCGGCCGCGGCTCCAACCGCTTGTACTACATTTTATATCGTGCTTAAAAAGTACGTACGGAACCCTTCGTGCGCGAGTCCGACTCGCACTTGGCCAGTGTTTTAATCCAGCTTTCAAACACTCAGCTGATGTCACATTGCGTAACATTAAAGTAGTATTTTTTTAATGTCATTTCTTTATTCTTTTGGAAAAAGAATAGCCCAAGATACTTTGTGATGTCTTATTTGCCGATACTATAATAGTTTGGAAACACGATTACTTCACGAGAAACTACAAGCCAGTTTATCTTCAGATTTCCAAGAACTTTGCTCTTAAATGAAGAAGAGGGGCGGGAATTATAGCAAAGAGTGCTTCATACATTACAATACCAAATTCATTCGACTAGCGTTTGTGAGTCTTTAATGGCATTGCACCTGCATCCTACATAGCTTTGAAGCATTTTCCTTTTGCGAACTGAATCCAGATTCTTACTCAAAACATTAAATATTCCTTTTCAACTTTCTTCTAAAACTTGCAAACAATTGCTAGATATTATTATTCTATATATGAACTGGTATTTATTGTTTAATCTAATTGCGTTATATTTCCTTTCATCTCCTTTTTATATGTTTTTTTTAATTAAGAAGGTAGAAACTACCAAACGCACTTCATGCTAAACGGTTATTGCCGTCCACGATAATCCCATCTAAAACTACATCAGCGTTGCTGTGGTGTTGCCAATTTTTTGATAGTCTCGTTTAAATGATTAGCCCGACAAAACAAAAAGTACAAATACATAGAGAAGAGTTAACGAAAAAGTACTTATACTACTCTTCTTCTTTACGGCAGTCTTGTTTGAGGCGTTGGTGCTTCCTTGGGACTAAACTGCCTCTTGGTGCAACGGCAGAAGTATCCAGTTCCTGTCTTTCAGTAAATGTTGTCAGTAAATGTTTTAACCTAGCTGGATTTTTAAAGGCTTTTTATGCCAGAAAAATATGAGATAAAATTTGAATGCTTAATGCTATAGATATTTCAGCTCCGTATAAAAGAGACGTGCAAAAACAATATATTAGTCTAAAAAAACGGCCAAGTGCGAGTAGAACGAGGGTTCCGTACCTACTCTTACAGTCTTATTTTATTTAGGTGTAACACCGTCGTAATAAAATTGGTACCACTGATTTTCTCTGGAACGGGTGGTCCTAGCAAGTTGAAATTCATACCAGATAGTGAGGTCTACTGTCCTTAATAGGTGTATAAAAATCAAAGGCAAATTTAGAAAGGCGAAATCTTGTTAGTACGAAAATTTACCTTAATTTTTAACCGTAAATTCCAAAAAATTTCAACCGTTTTTTGGAAGTTTTTCTTTTATTTCTGCTGTAAGACCTTCGAAAATTAATCCCGAAAAATATTTGCAAAATCGCAAATCACCGGTCGATCCGATAACCACATGTGCAAATAAATAAACCCGCGTCCAAACCTCGGCGGTTCCGATACGGAAAATAATGCCATCGTCTATTCCATTTCCACAATTCCACCGTTTAGGTCGAGAAACATTATTATTCCGCCGCGAACGTCTTCAGTACGCTTAAGCGGGACGTCAATTGAAGCTTAAGAAGTTACGGTTTGAGGACGACTCCGCCATTTAGGGAATGAGCTAAAAATTTGTTTATTTATTTTATTGAGAAACTCACGCGTCACGAAAAAGCAAACGAGAGTGTTATTTTGTGTCGCACTTATTTTTGTTGAATAGATAACTTTGATCGAACGAGTCAATGGATTAAACCTGTATTAAGCTGCAACACTCGCGATTTACGATAATCGTTTGACATTGTTTAACCTAACAAAATGTGAAGTATGTATCGTATGAGTGATTTCAACTCCTGAAGAAAGGAGCGCAAACATAAATTGCAACTACATTAAATTTTACACGCGGAGCCGACGGGGAACGGCGCAAGCCGAAACTAAAACGAAGTTCTGGAAGCGCCACTGACGGGGCATTATTTATTCAAAAAATTCCCACGTGTTACGTGACTGGAAAACAAATGAGGCACACGCTCGCGATGATATGCAAACATTCCGGAAGGTTCCGCACGTGCGACGAAATGTTGGCCCAACATGACCTGGAAACTAGGCTAGGTTGCCTATTTTAAGAGCGCGCCCGCCTCAGTATTCGTCGCGACTCACCTGAACGGGTAATGATGTAGAAGGGGCGCTTAACAGCCATCCGTGCTCCAAGATAAGATATAAGAAAGGCCGTCAGTTATGCGTTAAACAATATTCATTAAATCTCAACGGCGCTCTGTGAGCAGTGAGAATAAGGTGGCGGGTGCAAACGCTTCCAAGGAGGTGCGACAAAAGACCATTCAAAGGAACTTCTTAGCTTTATACGTCGATGGACAAATTTACGGCGTCATTTGGCGTGATATACGTGACGACGCTTATATTGAAAGCTTCCGTAGTCTGTCAAATACGCATTTCGTAATGGAATTGATGAGTTTTTATGTTTAATCTCATGTTTCATAACCTCTGACAGAGACAAATAGCACACTTTTGTCCTTAGATTTGACGGGTTTTTACTTATAGTATCACTACATAGTATAAAACAAAGTAATCCCGCTGTCTGTCTGTCCCTATATATGCTTAGATCTTTAAAACTACGCAACGGATCTTGATGCGTTTTTTTCCTAGATAGAGTTATTCAAGAGGAAGGTTTATATGTATAATAAATTGCACCCACGCGAAGCCGGGGCGGGTCGCTAGTTCAATATAAAATCCAGTGATAGGAAATATATTGATCCGAGCGTTTAAGTGCTGTTTCTCTAAATAGCTAGTTAACAAACTTATGATTCAACAGCACTCAAAAACCTTTCCTGCTAGATTTGGGCATCGTGTCGTGCTGGTTGGAACCTGTTGAAACGTGGTTTTCAGTTCACTGTGATAGCGCAGAAACATCAGCCACTCCTTTTAAATGGGCAGGTTCATACGGGCAAGTACCAAGGCCTCACAGAAGACCATGGTGAATTGGAAGTATAATAATTTCGCGTTTCGAGTTAACCGGTCTCACTTTTTCAACTAAAAGCTATTCAACTGCAAGATAAACGATATTTATCTTGCTTGACAACTTTTCACCTCAAAAATTCGCCTGACTGGCAGAAATTATTTTGTCAATTGAATTTGTGCATACACAGTATTCTTATTAAAAGTAAACAGAAAATGCGGGGATGAAGCGATCATTACTGTAGTTGAAGACTAAAGGTTTTATTTATTTAAAAATTACGGAGTATAATTGGCGCCATGGGAACAGTTAAATTGTTTCCTGGATAAGCTTAAGCTGCCTTAATTAACATAAAATACTGTGTAAAATTAAACAAAGAGGTATCTTTTCAAGTAATGCAATAAAGATACAAAAGAGATAAACTTGAGCATGTTTCTACTAATCACACCCCGAGGAAACATTTAAAATTTAATTGACGCGGAATCGTTACATCTGCAGTAACTGCGGAACCACAATTTATAGTCATAATAAATTTTGCGATTTAAATCATCATCATCATCATCATTTCAGCCTGTTTGAGTCCACTGCTGAACATAGGCCTCCCCCAATAGGTACGATTTAAATAGGTACTTAAAATGTCTTATTAATTTATTTTTTACTCTTATGTTTCGCTTTAGGATTAATTTTTGTTTTTAATGCAAGCTTCTGTATATCTCAAATTCGGACGGTAAAGAGTCTGGGCGCGTTGCTGGGAAAATAACATGCGCCGAGATTTTTTGCTCATTTATATACAAAAACTCACATCTTATGTTGTCTTAATTAAGAGGGGATTATCTCTTTACTTGTTTATGTATTTAATAGTCATATAATTCAATATTTGCTGTTGTTCCAGTTGATACAGTTAAATATAAAAAGTTCGGCAGAAATAGCTCTATAGATGTGGATATCATTTGAGTTCATTGGTGCCGGCACGAAAAGTTGTTAATTGGAATTTTAAGTGCCGATTTACCACGCGCTCATCGGTGAAGGGAAATATCATGAGGAAACATGCATATTATCGAAATAATAATAATAAAAAAGATATTTCTCTTTTTTCGAGAGTATGTGTATATATTTTTTGCAACCCGCAGTAGGGTCATGCAGTCACCTACGGCCTCATTTCCTCAGTACAGAGAAGGCCTTTGCTGAGTAGTCGGACATGTATAGGTTTTTATAAAGTGACATATAGTTATGATTGTTGTTCTTTTCCATTTCATGATTCCTTACATGATGGCTTGCACCGGCTCCGCAAGGGCAGAATGTCAAATATGTCAATCAAGAAAATTGTTTTATGTATTGTGTATGCAGTGTATAAAGCGAAATCTGATATATTTTTTTTTCCTCGGACTTCATGTAATTATTGACAATTTTCTTATTTACTATAGATTATTGTTCATTGTTCAGGCGCTCGCTTTTAATTCAATATACTCGAGCAACCTGAGTTCATATATTGGTGCAATGCACCAATGAAATTGTAGTTAAGTGCGTTAGTTAGTTAGGTCCGTGGGGTCCCCGCACATCAAAATTTTTTAAAAGTTTATGTCCTAGGCTTAACGCCGCGGCTGGTGACAAGAGAGCTGGTTCTTTTCTCGCTCAAAGGTTAAGCATAACTATTCAGCGAGGAAACGCAGCTAGCGTTCTTGGCACCATGCCGCGTGGATTAGCTTTATTAGATAATATGTAATTTTAGATACATTTAATCTTGTAAATATTAGATCAGTTAAGTGCTGAATTAACACGTGCTTAGCGGTTAAGGAATGAAAGCATTGTGATGAAACTTGCTTATTTTCAAAATAAATACAAAACAAATATTTCGCAGGTATGTTAAGTCCGCCAATCCGTAGATCGATTCTCGCATTATACACCGAATATCACTGTCATTCAATATCAATGACATGCACCGGGTACAAAAACATTGGCTTCGTATCTTATCTATTTTAAATTCTAAAAATGAAAGTTTGATCTGTGGTTAGGAAAATTTTCACAATCCCATCTTATTATATCGAAACTTCGAACATTGCACCATCCATAGTATGAACTCAATTGGCGTATTGACGCTTTCTCTTGCGCCGGATGGTATGGGCTCGATTCCCACGATTTGAAAATATTGTGTGATGAAAATAGTGTTTTTCTAGTGACTGTAAAAAAAAAATTAAGGAACAGCCTATACATGTCCCACTGCTGGGCAAAGGCCTCCTCTATACAGAGGGTATCAGGGCATAGTCCACCACGCGGGCCCACTGTCGATTGGCGGACTTCGCCTATCTTCGAAAAATATATATATTTTTTGTTATTCTATCGAAAATATTGTGGAGCACGGTTACGGGACGAGTTACGGGACCAATTGGTCTGTTCATCATCATTTCAACATGTTTTAGTCCATAACTGAACATAGACCTCCCCCACAGACTACCACAAAACAGGCACCTGAGCCAACTGCATCCATCGACTTTCTACACACTTGCAGAGTTCGTTACTCCATCTGGGCGTCCAAGTGCGGCGTCGTCACACACTACGATCTAATGGTCTGTTCTTGTTGTAATATCATACATAGTCAGCCCTGGTGCGACTTCATAATTATAAAAGACCGATCTTTGTTTTATCCTGTTAAAGGTTAGACACCTTTTAATGAAGTCTTAAAGAGCCCTTGCATCTTTGTGATCGAATCGACTTAATAACGATATTCGTCGGAGTCGTAAAAAGTTAGGGACACGTTTTACTACTCGGTAAATTATCAACGTAACGTGGTGCACTACGATACTTTGAGCCAACGCGAGATCCCAGTGGGGCTGTTCGATCACTAATACTCCTCGTTATCGTCGACAACTTAATGCCGTGTGGTGTTACAACTGTATTAATTTAACGTTATGGCCGTTCATGACTTACGGACGTTATGAACATTCGTTGCAGTAATTTCCATTTCCATGTCAATTATCTTTGATAAAGAAGCCTTTAAATAATTAGCACCACTCGTGGACAGTAAGCACACGGCGTCTTGGCTCAGGACTGGACTTTGTTTAGGTCTAGGGCATTTACTGTTTTTTTTTTAATTAGATAAAATCATCTGTTTATCGTCAACTAAAGTCTAGGCTTATAATAGCATCTTAGTGACTTAAAATTTTCTTCCCTTACGTTAGTAGTTAAGTGGTAATCATTGTGTCGTAGTAAGGCAAGCTACACACAATTGTACGTACCAACTATTGTATATACATAGAAATATAGTATAAATAGATATAGTTCAATACAGGCCGGAGAAAGTTGTGGCGTTCTTTACGCAAACGTATTTTCATAATCCACAAAAGGAGATAAGACTCAGCTCGTAGATCCACACAGTTGAGAGAGCGATATTATCTGTCAGCAAAACGAACTTATCGCGGACGGGGAAAAAAAACGTCCGGGAAACTTGTCTCAGCCAGGATCTTCGGCTTACAGAAGTTTTCAATCCACAGTCCCGATTGATAACGGAGATAACTTGTGAGGCATTATTATATCTGTGGCATACTTATCTGGTGGATTTTTTAGCTGTTCAATGCGGTGGGCGCGTTGTATTTTTAATTATTATGGCGATATTTTTATGTTACATTAATGAACGTACGATTTGATATATTTCGTCCCCGTTCAATAGCAACTGAAAGTGACACTACTCGTTATAAATGCAATGTATTATGCCATGGAGTTAAATTATTTATTACAAGTTTAAATTACATGTATTGTTTGTTACCATCATTAAAATAGGATTATCTTAGAAATAAAATTTTTTGGATATACGTGGTCTTGTTATCCAAAAACGTGTATATTATTGTTTGATAAATATAATAGCTTTGTTTTATAAAACGTTTTGATAAAAAGAAAGTTTGTCTGAAGCTTTTTGACTAACAATAACATTAAAAAAGTCTTATGTGATTTAGTCACATTCAGATTCAAGAGAGACACAAGAGCGGATCATCTTATCCTTTAAACGAGCACTTATTGTGTATTTATTATATATTGAAATTTAGTATGTGCGTAGATTCGGGGGCGAAAAATCGATCTAGCTAGGTTTCATTTTTCGAAAATGTCCTTTTATCCCTGTTTTCAGGGAATGAAAAATATCATTCGAATATGACGGTAAATTTCGCCGCAAAAACAAATGTTATAATGTCCTCCACGTACTATATACCAATATGATTCGCTCTTGGACCGCTAGCTTT